GGGCAGGCGGTGGGTGAGTGGGGGCCAGGTGCATGGGTAAGGAATTTCTCTCCAGGTGATGAAGATATTCTGAAATTGGATGGTGATGGTGGCAGCTACTGCTGCACATCTATGTAACAGCCTTTCCCCACAGCTGCCTCTGTGACATGGGGCCCCAGCAAGTAGCCAGAGACGCAGGTCCTCAGGCTCAAAGTGCTGTGATGTCATTTTCACACCACCTCCTGGCATCAAAGGGATGCCCTCTCATCACCTCAGGCCCCACCTCCTTGAAACCTCCAGGCCAGAGCTTGGAGCTGGGTTGGGAGCACAAGCTCGTTAGCAGGTGGGTTTGCAGAAGGTGTGGGTCAGTCTTGGGGTATTCTGGCCTCGTTGGCCTGGGCTAGATTGCCCTGGTAACCCACTGCTCCAGCCTCAGATCAGAGGGATCTCTGGCTACCTGAGTGCCCCGAACGGCACCTGTCACCATCTGTAACTATGGGTGTCACAGATGGCTCTATCTCTAGACACTGCCTTAGCAGGGACAAGTCTATCAAGAGAACTGAGCAGCACGCTTAGAACTACACAGTCCACCAAGTGCTGGTGCATTCACATTGTGGGTACAGAAGTGGCACAAAGGGAATGTGGTCTGGGCTCTGCTCACCTAAGCTTGCCCCAGATGCACCCTTAACCCCAGCCATCCTTTCCCTGGTGCTACCTGCTCTCCCCAAGCAGAGCAGACAAAGCCCTGCAGAAGGCAGCAGAGCTGGGTAGAGGGACCAACTGTGCAGCTCCCCCGGGCAGCTGCCAACACTCGCCCTTAAGCTGTGTGCGCGCGCGCGCGTAGGGGGCAGGGTGCGAGAATGCATTCAGCCAACAGCAGGTGCCTGGCTCCCTGTCCTGCTGTCCTCTTCGAGACAAAACCGGGACAGAAGCAAATGAGATGGAGCAACAAACGTTGGCCAGGAAACAAGTATTTTGAGAGCTCCAGAGAAAGGACTAGCCGGCAGGTGTTGGATTGCAAGGAGTCCTTTGTTCCCAGGAGGGGGTCTCCTATTAGCGTCTCCAAACCCAAGTCCGCAGTAGCACCACCTTGCACTTTGGGACAGGGGAGCCTCAAACCGCCGATTATGTAAATGAATCAAGTCCAAGTTCTGTGAACTGGTGGGTAGGGGGGCTAGTCTCGGGAGCCCAGCTGATCTTCCAACGTGCACACGGACAAGGCGCTCAAAACCACGCAGCTCTGGGTCTGGCCACACCCAGGGGTGGAGGGAGGGGACAAAGATTTACATTTGGGGCACGCTTTCTCCCCCAACCCGCATGAGACTGGTGTCCCAGAACCCAGCCTTGGGCTTCGCACACCCCCATTGACACCCACCCCCCCATGCGTCCCACTGGAAAGCGGGAGCCCAGCCCCCACCCCTGCCTCCCAGCAGCCTCCGCCTCGCGGCCCAGTATTCCAAACAAAGGCCGCCACCGCTTCCCGGGGCCGGGCGAAGGCCATGCGGCGGCGGCCGCGCGGGTGCACCGCTCCCCCCGCCGCCTCCCTTCCGCTCCCCGGAAGCGCTGAGTCGTCCTGCCTTTTCTGGGGGGCCGCTATTTCTGGCGGGCTGCGAGCGCCCGCACTATTTTTAGCTGCGCCCGGGTAAAAATGGACGCGGCGGCGGCCGCGCGGGTGCCCGAGGCGTGCGCGCCCCCCTCGCCAGAATCGGGGGGCCGGGGGCGCGCGCGCCTGAGTCACCCCGCTCCCTCCCTCTCTCGCTCGGCCGCGCAGCTGGGAGCGCGGGCCCGGACACCCCGCATCCGAGCGGGCTCGGGAATGTTCCAGGAGCGTCCGGAGGCTTCCAGCAGCGGGGGGCGGACTGGGGGTCCCGATCGGGGGTCGCAGGCAGGAGCTGTGAGAGGCGCCCACCGCCCCAGGTCCGTTGCTGCAAAGAGCAAACCTAGGCTGGAAGCCCGCATTGCAAGACGTGATCATTCGCCTTCTTGGAGACCTACTTTAACGAGGAACTCACTACCTCTCAGAAAACTAGGTACTGTTGGGATCAGCAGCATTATTATTATTTGCCGACATTCAAGCAATCGTTTTTTGATGAAGCGCCTACTGTGTGTTAAGAAGGGCGCCCCGGTGGCAAAGTGGTCACTCGCGGGGCTGCTCACCTAACCCTCGAGTCGGCAGTTCAAACCCACCAGCCACTCTGTGGGACAAAGAAGAGGCTTTCTACCCTCGTGTGAGCTAACGGGTGTCAAAACCCCACAGGGGCAGCCCTACCCTGTCCTCCCTGGTCATTCGAGTCAGAATGGACTCGGGGGCACTGAGTTTGGTTTGGGGGAGCTTTGCATTTACAGTTGATGGGGACGCAGCGAACAAGGTAGAGCACTCTGACCGCGTGGGTCTGACGAACGGTGAGCGAATGAGTTCCTATTGTGTTAAGTGCTACATGGAAAATAATTGAGTATTACCAGGAAGATACATGATAGAATATTACCAGGAAG